AATTTAAAAAAGTAGTGTATCAGGAATGCGTATCTGTATCAGAATCCAAAATGTATGCAAATGTATTTTATTGTTTTTCAAAGTCAGTAGTGTGGTCAAGACTCAATATTTTATTCTAACTAGGTTCTAGTGTGTATATGACCATGCTTAAGCGGGGCATCTGGTTATGTAATACAATGGCCTAAAATTCTACAGTAGGCCTTATTGTATGTAGTGTAGATCTATCACAATAAGGTCGGGCGTATTTTGAAACCCGACTTCATTTTAGTACATGTTCATGTAAAAGTAAACAATGCATATAGATCTAGATGTACTTCAGTACTGAAAGTAAATTAAAGTAGGGCATACTATATTTGACGGTGGAAATAGCGACGTCTAACACGCTGGTCCAAATTATCCCAAAGATGTTCAAATGGATAGTAGTAGTTTTATTCGGTAAAAGTATACATGCAATGTAATTCGCCCTGAGGAAATTCAGTGTCCCTAGTTGTATTGCTTGTAGCATTATCATGTTTTAAAGAGTGATATTGACATTACTTGAAACAGTGGGAAAACATGCCTCGAAAGAATTTCATCTCGATATCGTTGTGCATTCAAATTCCCTTCGATAACGATGCGATTACATGTGCAATGCCTGCCCAGACTAAGACAGAACCCCCACTCAAAAACGATCTCCTTCAAATAAGCAGCTCGATGAATGGAAAACCTCGACTTGTCTGAGAAAAGAACGCTATTCCATTGTTTTATTGGTGTGTACGTGCCCATTTAACATGATTTACGCGACGTCGCCTGAAAGCACAACCAACGTATGATCGACGTCAAGGTTGCTAGCAAACCCTTGCGAAAGCGATTGTGCGAAGTTTGGGCAGATATAGAGTTGATATGTGTACTAGGGGTGCCAGCAGCAGTAGCTGTGGCAGTTTGGAAGCGATTGCTCAGGTGGGTGTTCCGAAAATAGCGGTATTTGGGCACGCGTTGTTACGCGCGGACGTTCAGTACGTAGTTGACCTGCTGTACGTCCTGTTGCTTGAAAACGTTGCTAAAGGTGTAGAATAGCACGAGTAGAATATCCAATATTCAAATCGATGGCATTCACACAGGTTCGCGTAAATTTTGCGGAAATCTAGGCATATCAAAAATAAAGAAAAAAATTAAAATGTTTCAACGTCTTCTTATAATTGACATTAAAGTCTATAAAATTACGTAAATTTTTGCGGAATGCTAGGCATATCAAAAATAAAGAAAACTAAAAAAATGTATCAACGTTTTTTTTTGTTTTTGTTTTTTTTTTCTTATTACAAAATTACAAATCTATTGGTGCGCGCATGCACATGAAAATCGCGGTCTGCAAAACGAGTTAAAATGGTAGAATTTGTTTTATTGGACACACACGTGTAATCCTTAGCCCGAATATATACATGTAGCTCATTTGACAATTTGATTTCTTCAAATAACACTATATCTCCACTTAAACACAAGGGAAGTTTTTCTTCTTCTTCTTTTGTTGTTGTTGTTGTTGTTGTTGTTGTTCAGTAGATTCTATATGGTCAAAATGTCTCCAGATATCTATTACAAGGTTTCTTATAGTTTGAAGAGTGTTCTTTTCTTTTTCTTTTTTTTGTGGGGGAGTATTATTATTGTTATTATTATTATTATTATTGTGGGGGTATGATTCTTGTTAGCCTACTTACCCTTATGACCTAGCACTTTACAAATGCACGAGTTTTATTAGGAAATTGAGACGCGCACGTATCAAAAGGTGCGCGTCACTCTTTAAATTACCGCAAAGATCTATATTTGTCCACAGGGACCCAGCACAGTGATTGGATAGTGTAAAAAAATAATTCTAAAAAAAATATATACTGTATTTGTATTTGTCGGCTTATTAACCAAGTTTTATTTACCATAAAAACTGTTCATTTTACCTTTGTACTGTCCAACTTAAAGTTGAAATAAACAATCATATAGATCTATATTTAATTTTGAACTGTCGAACTATAAACCAAAGCTTCTTTAGGTGTATATAGGAGAAAATAATTTCGTTTAAATAATCAGTTGGTAAAATAAACACACCCGTCAAAAGCTAAGCAACATGTAAACTTCCGGTTAATTTCCTGACTTCGGAAATGAAAAGTATTTAGTTCAAATACAACATAACTAACAACGAAAATGTCTTATAGTGCAATGAGTAAGAGGGTTCGTAACCCATACGAAACCCTTGAGCGAATGTTAAATAAAACAACCTTATCAACGCAACGGGTCGCCCATTCAAATATCGTGGGTAAGTTGAAAATGGAACTCGGGAAAGATAACTCTTTCTCGCTAACTGAAGAATGTTATCACTTTTCCCCACTGATAACATTGATTCCTGCTCGTGTCATATCTAATTCCGTATTTGAACAAAATTTACTTTTATAATCTGATTTATTCAGGGCGATTATGGGTATAATTTGAAAAGGAGTCGACTTACTCAAACAAAGGTGAAAATGTTTTACCCACAATAGTGCGATTTAGTATTTTTTGTGTTTACTTTACCATTGAATCTGTTTAAAAGTTTTATCATGAGCAAACATATTTAGTTCTATTCAAATGAATATTGCTTTCAATTACTGACCATTTCAAGTTTGCGGCCATATCATATAATTTTAGACCTGATAATTTATTCATGCTTGAGTTTCTTAAGAGTAGAATGTCAAAACATATTGACGTGCCAAGGCTTGATTCTGAGATATTTTCAATCTGGTGCAGAATCTCGCTTTAGAGACAAGATATTGCTTAGACCGGAAAATAGCACAATATCTTGTCGCACAGTACAATAAGTTGGACTAAAGAGTAGACTGTATCTCTGTATTCATAGAAAGAGTTCACTTCTTTCCCAGATGGAATGTAAAATACAGTGATTAAAAAATGTGTTAAAAATGTCATTGTGTTGAAATTTTTGTTAATTTGATGGTAATTTGTAAACTTTATCAATTAGTGAATTACAATCATGTATACAGATACTGATATATGAATCATATTAAGATGAAGAGCAATGGCGTTTAATTTTTTTGCAGTTTATTTGGAAAGTTTATAAACTTTTATCCTTACTATGTTGTCCTGCAGATGAAGAATTATATATATGTAACAAAATTGGACACAAAAATTAATTGAATTTATTTGGTTGTTGCAATTGTGCGAATAATGTCAGAATACAGGTTTTGAAAATACATGAAATGCATTCACTTATATAAATAATTAAGTTGTAGTTGTATATTTAAGATATAAACAAAAATGTCATATAAAGCTGTGACTTTCAAAAAATATGTGACACATATTAGTGGTATTTGCAATGCTTCACATTTGGATAAAAAGAAAAGCAGAAACAAACAAGATAAAAGTAAGTTTTATGTATTTCATCAAAAACAGTCAACAACGAGGCTTACTTTAAATTGTGACATTTTTTTATATTGCCTGTCAAAATGTGTATGCAAATACTTTCAAAACTAAAACCTTATACTTTGCTTATATATGAACTTATGTAAAATTTGTATTCTCTTTCTGTTATGTGTGTTTCCAGCTTTTATGAAATAATGTAATACCTAGGACTGAGAAACCTAGAGCTGTCATTGATAGAGACAATATTGATATGTCACTGATATGCAAAATATTAATAATTTTGATTAAATGTTTAAATGTCTATAAATTATGAAAATTCATCCAAAACATATTTTTAAAAAAAGCAGGTAGCCATGTGTAGCTCTAAGCTGGTGTTACATATTGGACACATTTCATAGCAGCTACTGATGACAGAAAATGGTCAGAAAAAAAAATTATGCAGAGGACATTTTTAAACAGGACACAACATATTTGTATCAGCAGAGCATATAATTCACTAAAATCACTTAAACAGCTACATGTATGTAGATGAATTATATAAAAGAAATTAGAAGGATTTATTGATATATCAATGTGCCGCCGATATTTGTCATTCAAAATCGATGTATCATCAATATGCTTTGCACTTAATCAATTACTGCTCTACAGAAAACTATTATAATAAAATAAAAAGCACAAAATAGACAATTACAGGAAACAGACCATTTTTAGGCCGGACCTAGCAAATAAAAACAAGCATGTGTTTAGTACCATTCCATTCTTACATGTATGAATGAAATGATGGTGTTCAACCAATTGGGGAAGTGTTCAAAGATTATCCAAGATGGTTGGAATGTCTTGTTTATCTGTAGAGTTGTTCTTTGGAACTTGTTTAAACATGATGATTGATGAAAGTGGATTTGAAAAAAAAAATGTCATTGCTAGTACTTTTGTACATGTCAATGATATTGATAAATAATTCTGATTTTCCACATCCTCTAATGGAAAGTTAACATAATTTAGGATAGAAGACCATGGGGTATTCTAGCTACAGACTAAATTGTGTAGACCCTTTTGTGAAATGTTTTTCAAAAGTGTCTTGTGATCAAATAAACAGCTAGTTCAAGACTTCTCAAAATGCCTGTGCCAATCTAAGTGAGGCTTTGACTCAAATTGGTTAGATTGAAACAAATAATTTTTATTCATTTTAATGAGTTTTCATTTGAGCTTAATAATTATGTGTGTCATACATATTTTCTAAGAGTTCTAACAGCCCTAGGAACGCTTTTGCCCTGCTCAGGCATTTAGAATATTATTTTATATATGAGATATTTAACTATTCTACATTGTATAAAGACTTTCTTCTTATCATTCACATTGAATTTCAGCTTCTTGGTGTGTGAAAGATACTCTTACATTGATTTCTTCTTTGATATTTACATTAAGCTAATAACACAGAAAATAAACAAAAAGTTATCCCAAGATATCCAAGATATAACCTTTACAACAATTTGTGAGGTTCATTAAAAAAATACAAAAACAAACATACTTGCGATTTCTACTGGGATTTTGCATGTAAGATGGTGGTAAAAAAAAGCCCTGAATATACATAATATTATACATATAAATGATTGTTATTACAGAATTAGGAGCTCATATGGTATCATCAAAGGCCGGGGATTTCCAGGAGGAACACGAGAAGGAGCTGCAGCAAGCTGTCGATGAATCAGAGGAACGAGCCACCAGAGAACTTAAAGCGGCACTGAAACGTCTTAGGGAAGATAAAGATCATGAAAAAAGTACAGCATTGCGTAACCAGAAGGAGGTAATTTCAAAGTTGTTACCTTGATGAAGTTACGAATTTTAAGGGGAGTTGTATCAATATTAGTTTTGATATTTTTGAAGTAAGTCTTTTTTAATTGAAAAATTATTGTGTGTATTATAAATTTGATTTAAAAAAAAAATAGGAACTTTTTCTACATTATGCTGACTGGGAAGTCGCTATATAAACATATTCTATGTCATTGTGAATTATTATTCTGAATGACATATTTAAAATTCCATTAAAATTAAATTTCCATCAGAATTTACCTGTAACTTTCAATTTATAAAAAGAAGGGACAGTCCTTTTCTATATTTTCAATCATCATCAAAAAAGTCAATCGTTTGAATTTAATAGTCAATTTAGCTCAACTTGACAATGAAAAAAAAGAGTATAATGTCCCTTTAAAGCCATAATGTTTTTTCTCTCCGACGATGTCTGGCCTGGAAGTTAAATTTTGGTGTTAAGATTCTGTTATTATTTTAAATTAAATGGATTCTTCCTAATTCAAAGCAAGATAATTCCATTAAATTCACCAAAACAAGGGTAGAAATTAAGTCCATTAGATTCACCAAAGCAAGGGTAAATATTAAGTCAATTAAATTCACCAAAGCAAAGGTGGATATTAAGTCCATTAAATTCAACAAAGAAAGGGTAGAAATTGAGTCTATTAAATTCACCAAAGCAAGGGTAAATAAATTCAACAAAGCAAAGGTGGATATTAAGTCCATTAAATTCAACAAAGAAAGGGTAGATATTAAGTCCATTAAATTCACCAAAGCAAGGGTAGATATTAAGTCCATTAAATTCACCAAAGCAAGGGTAGATATTAAGTCCATTAAATTCAACAAAGAAAGGGTAGATATTAAGTCCATTAAATTCAACAAAGCAAGGGTAGATATTAAGTCCATTAAATTCACCAAAGATTGGGTAGATATTAAAACTGGACAAGAGCTCTTGTTTCATATTTCAGTACTATGAAAAGATCCAGAGACGAGTGGAGGAACAGAGAAACCGAGCAGAAGAAGAACGTGACAGAGAGAACACTAAGAAATTTATACAAGAGAAGGAAGAGGCTCTGGCACAACAATGGGAGGAATGCGAGAGACTAAAGGAAGAAGCCGTTGCACTAGCTTGTGAAAAACTAACTCATAAACTCAAACTTGAATTTGCCTATGAGAAAGAACAAGCTGTGGCTGAAGCTCTGAGAATAGCAAAGGTTAGATGATTTAAAACAACTCAGATGTAGGATAATGTGTGGCAGATATAACTATCCCCCCAGTTTTGTTTTGTCATTTCTATATTTACTTGGTCATTAGGGTCAAGAACTTTTTATAAAATGACTGAAAATAGTTGACGTAAGAATATTTCAAGCTTTATGCTGGATTCAATTAAGCTATTTTGGTAAAAATACTTTTTGCAGCGATTTTGTTTTGAAAGAACCTGGGTCGTTTTCTTAAATTATGTGGTAATTGATACAAACCACAAAGGAATCTTAAAGAACATGACCAAAGACCATTGGCCTGCAACATGTTGCAGGGGATTTACCTGGCTACAATGTTATAATAAAACTTTTGTGATCATAGGGAACAAACATATATACATGTATTGTCATACAGCAGCCATTTAGTAAATAATAGAAATTTGTTCACTAATATGGATACCTCATATTAGTATAATTTATAATAATATTGAGGAAAAAAAACAGTTTTCATTGGACAGAGTGACATATTATCTATATCCAGTTTATGTATGAATTAATTTTCCTTTTTCCTCGAAGAAATGAATTATGCAGTACATGTATATGAAAATTTTAATAAGACTTCTGACGTTATATGGCCTTTTATAATATTGCACGTCTGTAACACCGTTTTTCATTGATTAATCGTGACGTTTATTTAATTTATATACACTTTTGCAGTCGATTTATTAACTTATTTTATTTTTTCTCTCATAAAAAAGTTTCTAGTATTATAAATTCATTATAAAGATTCTTAACAGGTTAAATGGCCATAAGCAAATGGTTATTAGCTATATAAATACAAACAACAGTTTATATACTAGGGCCATTTAACCTGTCAAAAAAATCTTAATAACTAATAATATTGCTTTAGAACTAATGATAGTTATAATGTACAATGTATGTATGTACATACATGTAGATATTTATATATGTATTATGTTTCCAGGAGAAATATTTGATACGGGAACGTAACACAATAGAGAAGACTAGACGTGAATGTGAGGAAGCTGCCAGACAGGAAGCTGAGAGAGTTGCCAAACTTCATCAGCAAGACATAGATAGGTGCAACGAAAGGTAAAAATAGCAATATTTATTCTAGCTTTAACTCCTAACCTGTGGATTTTCTGACATGGACTTGTCCAGCAACTATTTTTAGAACTGTTCAATGTCAAGTTTGGGGTTGTGAAGGTATAAACTAAAGTTTTTTAGCCAGTAGTATAAAATCTGGTCAGATTGCATGGATGTTAAATATTGGCCTCCGTGGCTGAGTAATAATAGTTGCTCAGTGCCTACTGAACCACTTGAAACTTGTTGCTTTGGGTTAGAATCCCACCAAGGACTTTGGATTCTTACCAGTAAGGTGATTGGTGGTTCTACTCAGGTGCCTGTTTGTGCCTAAATAATGTAAATTGGTGCATCTGAGGTCCTTTTCCACCAATAAAGCTTGAAAGTGGCTATATCATAACAGTGTCAATGTGACGTAAAATTCAGCCAAACAAAATATAGAGAGAATAGGTCTCTTGCAGACGTGCATTGCTTTATGATGGTAAATTGAAATAGGCTTGCCATTAAAGTCATAGATATGGCAGGGTGGGTGATCACATGATATTTGAGTTGCACCATGACAAAACCAACATAGTGCGTTTGCAACCAGCATGGATCCAGACCAGCCTGCTCATCAGCGCAGTCTGATCAGGACCCATGCTGTTCCCTATAAGTTTCTCTACTTGTTATAGGGTTTGTAAGCGAACTGCATGGATTCTGATCAGACTGCATGGATGCGCAGGCTGGTCTGGATCCATGCTGGTCGCAAATGCACTATGTTGGTTTTGTCATGGTGCGGCTCAATTTTGTTTCCGGTAACATTGGGTCACACCCATAACTCAAAAGGTTTTTGCTTATTTTTCATTACATCTTTCAATATTTGAATAATAAACACTTCATGTTCCTGGCAATTATTTGCCAATTCCAATGCAACTTAGTTTTCCAATGTAGCTTTTGTACTTTTCCCAATATACTTGGAGAAGATGGTGATAGCAAATTAAATCACAATTTTTCCTCATAGAAAAATTTCTGCAAGCATAATGGGAAAAGTGAAAGAGCTACAAAAGAAAATTATGTACATCTGGAATCAGCAAATATTTCCCTGGAACATGGTGTATGTTTTAATTACTCAAATGTTGACAGATAAACATGTAGTAAAATATTAGCAAAAGACACAAAAAGTAATGGGTATGGCCATTAGTGGTGTCCTAAAGTTACTGTATACAAATGTCACGTGATCACCCGTCCTGTATGTAAAATGTTAAAAGTTTTCAGTAGGAATTTTCTGCAAGATGCTTGAAAATTCTTAATTTCCATCATGAAATATCAAAGATTCCTTAAAAATCCCTTTATTTTTTTCTTTCTTTTATTGTTATAAAGTGATTATTAAATTGATGTTAAATTTACTTTGTCTTCAGGTATAATTTGTTGGAAAGGAAATGGTTAAGAGAGATAGACTGTCGGAAAAATGTGGAACAAGATTTCAGGGTATGTTATGTATGGGTATAAGATAATACTTTAACCAAATTACTTACTCAAATTTGTACATTAAATTCATCTTGCTTTGATAACTTATAGAATTTCAACATCAAAATACTAAAAATAATTCAGCTGCCAACCAGTGGCGGTAAAATCATTGTCTGTATTGCCAAATGAATAGTGGGCCATGCATCTAACTGTCAACAAAGTAAAAGAGAACAACAGAGTTTATTCCGTAACAATTGTGTAATTGACCATCAGCCCTCTATTAAACAAAAGAAAATATCAATAGAAATGGCCCCTTACTCCATTTCAGCCAGACTTTCGTCCGCCTATACGGACAAGAATTAACATTAAAAATGTCTTATGGACAAGTGAAGGAATGCTGCAGATAAAAATGGACAAATAAGTTAAAATCAGATTTTGCTGGCCCTGCGACCCATAGAGTGTGGGCATGCTATATACAATAATAACCCATACATTTTCCATGACAGTTTCAAATGTGGACGGGATTTCAAATGTGGATAATTTGCCAGATACTTTCACAAAAATAGCAAAGCTCTAATATAAAGTGCCAGAAATTTTGGTAGAAATTTGTCTTTCTGTGAACAATTTTTAAACTAGTATATCACATCTGTATTTTAAGGGTTTGGTGCAAAACAACTGTAACTCATATCACATAATATAAGAGTTATATTGGGCGTCCGTGGCCGAGTGGTTAAGGTCATTGACTTCATATCACTTGCCCCTCTGACCGCTGTGGGTTCGAATCCTGACAGGGACTTTGGATTCTTTCATGTGAGGAAGCTATCCAGCTAGCTTATGGAACAGTGGTGGTTCTACTCAGGTGCCCGTTCGTGCCTGTGATAATGCACAGAAGGGCACCTGAGGGTTCCTCCACCAGTAAAGCTGGAGCGTCGCCAATGACCTATACTGTGTCAGTGTGACGTAAAACCCAAAACAAACAAACAAAAAACAAACATCGGTTTCACACCAATCCATCGTTTTGTTTGACCTTTGAAATAGTAAGATCACATCAGGTTTTTATGCCACCGCAGCATCTGCGATGCGGTGGCATATAGCGATTCACCTGTGTGTGTGTTTGTTTGTTTGTGTGTTATATAGATTATATAGTGAACTTAAAAAATCTTCTTGTGAAAAACCACTAGTCCAATTTCAACCAAACTTGGCAGGATTGATCCTTGGGTGAAGGGCTTCCAAAGTTGTTCAAAGAATTTCATTCCATGCAGAAATCTGGTTGCCATGGCAACCAAAAGGAATTATAAGAATAAATTTAAAAAATCTTCTTGTAAAGACCCAAAAGGCCTAGAGCTTAGATATTTTGCACAAGGCATTGTCTGGTAGACCTCTACCAAGATTGTTCAAATTATAGCCCTGGGGTCAAAATTGGCCCCGCCCCGGTGGTCATTGATTTTCACTATATGTACATATAGTCAAAACTTTAAATACCTTCTTGTAAAGACCCAAAAGGCCTAGAGCTTAGATATTTTGCATAAGGCATTGTCTGGTAGACCCTTACAAAGATTGTTCAAATTATAGCCCTGGGGTCAAAATCGGCCCCGCCCGGGGGGTCATTGATTTTCACTATATGTACATATAGTAAAAACTTAAAATACCTTCTTGTAAAGACCCAAAAAGCCTAGAGCTTAGATATTTTGCATAAGGCATTGTCTGGTAGACCTCTTCCCAGATTGTTCAAATTATAGCCCTTGGGTCAAAATCGGCCCAGCCCGGGGGGTCATTGGTTTTCCTTATATGTATATAGTAAAAACTTATAGTAAAAACTTTAAAACAAATTTCTTCTAGCAATTGACAATTGCTAGAGGTTAGATATTTTGCATGAAACATTGTGAACTGAACTTCTAGCAAGATTGTTCAAATTATTGCCCTGGGGTCAAAATTGCCCCGCCCCGGGGGTCATTGATTTTTCAATATATACATATAGTAAAAAATAAAAAAATCTTATTGTCTGAAGGTACAAGGCTTAGAGCTTTAATATTTGTTAAATGATATCATCTATAGGTACTCTACCAAAGTTGTTCAAATTTTGCCTATAGTGTCAAAATTAGCCCCGCCCTGGGGGCCATAGGTTTTCCTTATTTGTATATAGTAAAAAGTTAAAAAATCATCTTCTCTAAATTTACAAAGGCTAGAGTTAAGATATTTTGCATGAAACATTATGTAGTGAACCTCTAGCAAGATTGTACAAATTATAGCCCCACCCCCAGGGGTCATTGATTTTCACTATGTACATAAAGTAAAAAATTAAAAATCTTCTTGTCTGAAGGTACAAGGCTTAGAGCTTTGATATTTGGTATACAATATCATCTATTGGTCCTCTACTAAAGTTGTTTTAATTATGCCCCTAGTATTAAAATTGCCCTGCCCCAGAGGCGATAGTTTTCCTTATATGTATAAAGTAAAAACTTGAAAAATCTTCTCTGAATTGAAAAATCTTCTTCACTGAATTGACAAAGGCTAGTGGCTAAATATATGGCATGAGACTTTGCGAAGTGAACCTTTACTGAGATTGTTCAAATTATAGCCCTGGGGTCAAAATTGGTTCCGCCTCGGGGGTCATTGATTTTCATTATGTACATATAGTAAAAAAATAAAAGAATATTTTTGTCTGAAGGTACAAGGCATAGAGCTTTGATGTTTGTTATATAATATCATCTATAGGTCCTCTACCAAAGTTTTTCAAATTTTTCCCCTGGTGTCAAAATTGGCCCTGCCCAGGGGCAGTGATTCTCATTATGTACACATAGTAAAAACAGAAAATAAAACAAATGTTTTCTGAATGGGAGAAAGCTACAGCTTAGATATTTGACTTGAAATGTTGTTTGGTGAACCTGTATCAAGATTGTTTTGAATTAAACCCTTGGGTCCAAAATTTTGCCTTGCCCAAGGGGACAGTGACCTACTTTCTTGTCCTTTGATGTACAGCAATGAAATTTTGACCAAGTGCACAGTTTTAGTTGTAAAATTGAAATTTGATATGAGGTGACCTAGATTTTGATGATGTGACCTATTTTCTTTTCCTATTTGATGTACAGCTATGAAATTTGAACCATGTGCACAGATTAAAATGTAAAGTGAACTTTGATATCAGCTGACCTAGATTTGATAAAATGTCTTACTGTGTTGTCCTTTGATGTAGTCATGAAATTTAGGCTGTGTGAAATATGACCTTCATCTTTTATAGAGTTAACAATAGATTTAACCACTAATTTGATAATAAGAATTAGATAGGTCAGGGATCTATGCATTATGACAATCTTCAGTTGTATAGAAACAAAAAAAACCTGTTCCTACACTACTATTTAGTGTTGTATTAATGCGGTGGCATAGCATTTTTCTCAAATGCAATCTTGTTTTATATTTTATGTCATTTTCTGTGTACATTATTAATAGGAATTACAAGATGACTATAGGCGGTTCATGGACTACACAGATGGGATGTTCCACTCGGATTACCTCATGCAGCTGAGGCATATGGGCCAGAGGCTTGCCGAGAAACAGATCAAGGCGGTCACATATGAAGACATCGAGAAAAACTTTGAAAGTATAGAAGAGGAGCCAGAATTCTATTGAGTAGACTGTGCTGAAAATTATTGAGATCTCAATGCAGTGCAAGCTGAAAATATGTTTGAACCAGTCTCAAAATGTCTAAAGATAGTAACAAGTCTTGCCATTGGTCAATTTTGAAATTGATTTAACCAATCAGGACCTTTATACAATAATCATCCCATTTCATATTTCTGGTTGAATTATTTGAAGCATTGTAGTTTTTTTTGTTTTGAACTGAATGATTAGCAAGCTTTAAAAATATAGCTTAGTATTACCATTAGCTTTATAATTTTTTAAAGAATTGTGGTTATTGGGTTATATTTTCATGTTTTGAATATGACAAAAATCTTGATAAATGTGATCCCTTGGAATACTAAATGAAATGTATTACCATAATTGTGAGGAATGTCCTAAAAAAAATTATCTCAATCCAGTAGATACTTTTTCTGATCTTATGTAAATTATATGATTATCTACTTATTTTGATTAGGAAATTAATTTGTAGTTATTTAGAGGATTTAAGTTTAGGGTATATAAGATTCACATTCACAAAAAAAACAAATTTGTTCCAAGTACAGTTTAGGTTTTTTGCATGTTGGGTGCAAATAAGTGCAAAAATAACTCAAAAATAAATGTAGTTTCATGGTTTTATTATATTATTTTATGTAATGAGAAAGTGCCAATTTTACATACATATCAAAATAGTGCCTATATTCCATTAATTATTTGTATACAAACATAATTTTTCGTGTATATGTATTTATCTATGTTAAACTGTGATATTTTGTTTAAGATATGTATTAATATCTTTTGTGTGATATAACAACTCTGTGATAAGATGTCTATGGTTAAGATGATATTGACTTAACAAGTCCATGGAAATTTAGCATATTTTTATCTTAGAAAGTACCTTTTTAAACCTTCTGTGCAGTCCAATCTTCGTCTGCACTGTTGCAGCATTCACTTGGTACGTTGTTTTTATTTTCATTTTGGTTTTGTATCTGGTTCTTGTGTAATTTGTTAAAAGGTATAACACTTGCTGCTTCTGCATCACTTGAGATTGTAGCCTAGTAAAATCCATTAACGAGTCAAATACTAATTCTAGATTCTGTTACTCATGTCATAACCCTGTTTTGTTTTATGTCATAATGTGCCATTTAGAAAAAAAAGTTGATCAAATATGAAAAAAGATTGTTTCTTATCAGGAAATGAATTGTTTTCTAATATGATTCTGATATGACATTGGTTATGGAAATGTGTTTTAAATTCTTTACTATTACCAGACTTACATTTTGTTCATATCTATATTAAAGCCAGGGGAGACAATTCAATTGATTTATGTAATAATAAGCATTCATAACTGACAGTTGTTTTTGGGTTCATACTGTAATTTATGAATTAATGAAATAATAGATTAAATGTTTCCTAATTACTGAGTAACATGATAAAATCTATATCTCATTTTGTTAAAAATAAATACAATAACAACAAAAACCAAAAAAATATGAAATTATCTTTAAGTGAAATAGAAATCTTGGAAAATCGTAAAATTATGTTTTAGTTTTGGTTGTTTGTATTTGTGTTCATTTAATGTTTGTTTGTGTTCAAATATTGTAGACTAACTTGAGATAGCAGGCACAGAACACTTGTTACATTAATCAATTAATCAAGCCCTACAAATACACCTTAAGGCATACCCTACTGAAACCAGAGGTGATTACCCTTTGTCACCAGTATAGGGCTAGGCCAACGAGCATACCCATTTGACCAGGCTCTATACTGATTGTCCCTCTAGTTTCGTACATGTATTTTGATGTTAAAATCATTTAAACTTTGAATGGATTGTTCCAAATTTAAAGCAGGGAAAATCCACTTTTTAAATTTAGGAGAATAAAGGTTTTGGAAGTGTAAGCGGCATGACTGACTTGTTTATATAAGGCCCAGTTAGTCTGTCCATTATCATCCATGCAATCTTCCCAAGCTTTAAACTATAGGTTTCTCCAGTGCCTAACTTTACATAAATTTCAGTATGTGTGATTTATTTATTAGATATTTTACTTATATATTTTTTTATATCTCTTATATAATAAGTTTAAAACTGTTAGATACATATTTTTTCTGAAATGATCTACTGACGGTTTTTCAGATAAATGCATCAGTTTTTAAAAATGCATCATTTTTGAATTGTTTCCCTTTATTTACAATAATAACTTAAACACAATAATGCTTGCCTCCCTTTGATTAAGTTTTCTCTCTCTTTTTTTTTTTTGCATGCGTACAAAAAATGTGTGAGATATGTTTGAATATCTCACTGTTTTCTGTAGTGCTTTAAATTCTCTTTTTTCTTCTTGCTGCATAGCTACCAGTAAAGATACCTAGAGTATCATGTATATTATGAACCATATATTTTTATTTGTATTTTATGGTAATTTTATGGGATCATGAATTACTAGTGCTGTTTTAGTATTTTACTGAATTTTGATGTGTAGTTGTGTGCTTAAGGTTGTTCTGAATATTTTTATTGCATTATTTTTTTAAATGTTATTTTGCAAGTATATAACTGTGGTGGGAAGGATTATTGATTCTTTCACACCAATTAAAGTTGGTGTAAAATTGAAAATAAATCTGAACTAGCAATATTTTAAAGAAAACATCAATACTGAAACTTTGTGTTTACAATATGTAATGGTTTACTGTTTTATTTATATAATTTTTGTTTTATTTGGGTGGGGGGTATGGGATGGAGTTAAGTATTACTTTGCTTTGCACTGTTTCCATTGCAAAGCAAGTCAAGTCCCTTACATGCAAAGTTTTGCTTGGTTAGTGTTTAGGATTATATATTATTATTTTAGGTTTTTGCATAATACCGGATTTGATTTGCAGTGGTTGTATCTAATACCTTTATCTTTTATTAGTAGCAACCATTTGGCTTCAAGTCCTTTATATATCTACATGTATATTTAATATCAGTATTATAAATATAGTGCACATATGTTTCTAATGTACTCTTAGCTGCCTTGTTTATGCACGGTTGACTTTATTTTAGTGTTTTTTTTGCCATTTAGTTTGTAGTACTTGTATAATGTACACCATATGTAGTCAGTATAGAATATTTTTATAAGTGTAGGTACAGATTAATTTTAATTTGAAATACATGTAAACATAAATATTTGAGTCGGGTCATGACAAAACCAACATAATGGGTTTGTGACCAGCATGGATCCAGACCAGCCTGCGCATCCGCGCAGTCTGATCAGGATCCATGCTGTTCGCTATCAGTTTCTATACTTGTTATAGGGTTTGTAATCGAACAGCATGGATCCTGATCAGACTGCGCGGATGCGCAGGCTGGTCTGGATCCATGCTGGTCGCAAATGCACTATGTTGGTTTTGTCGTGACACAGCTCATTTGTCTAGTGAGAACTACAGCCAAACCTGTGTATGAATACCCACTTTTCATGAGCAAAGTTTGGCTTTTATTGCAATGTTTTGTAAATGTTTTAAGTTTGAAAAAAAAGCAAGATTCATAATATGAAAAATTATTTAGGAGTCAATATTTCACTTAAGTGCAAAATATCACATATCTTTTATCAGATAAGACATTTAAAATATTTGCAGCTACCAATCCATGTTGATATGGACATTTTTTTATTGTAAGATTTCTTGTAAAAGATGGATCTTTTTTTTCCCTATATGCGGCTTTGTGAAAATGTCTTAAGTCAAAATCTTCAGATAAATCGTAAGATTTTTTGTGAAAATGTTTGTGATAATTTTTATCATTTTGATGCTATAATTCCTGTCATTTATTAAGGCCAGTTCCAATTACAACCACTTACACTTGATAAGGTCATTGTACATGTGTAGCAAAGTAAATGTTTAAAAAAAACATGTAGCAAAATTTAACTGATGGTGTCAGATAAGAGTGTGATGGTGAATTCATTACAACTGCACTGAATATAACTCTACATACTCAGTGATTTATCCTTTCAAGTGAGTCATTAACTGGAAAACCTCAAGTTTCATGCCAGATTATTTGGTAGTAGTCACACTGGTTTTTGTGTGACTTTCTACAGAGTAGTGGCAACATATATATATTATTAAGGTATCCATTAATAAGTATGTCATGTTTTTACGTGTATATGTATTAGACGTTGACTGTTGATAGAAAGATATTTTACACAGGGTTTGGCTGTATTTTTTACTTGGCTTATGTACAAATTGTTTCCCGAATTTCATACTTCCATGTTAATATCATCTGTTGCTGTCACGGCATTAGTCTTGTTATCCTGTTATGGTTAAATGTCATCAGTTGTCCTGTTATGGTCTAATAGTTGTTATTATTATCCTGTTGATCATGTTTATGAACATCCTACATTATTTGATAATTAGTATTACCTTCTAACTTTCATCCCAAAAATTGATAATTTATCAATCTGTTTCTCTGTTCTTTAAAGGCACATTATGCCTCAGGAATCCATTTTTTTTCAATTCTTTAGAAATATCAAACATGTGTTTAAAATGTTTAAATAATGGATTTAGAGCATGTTAGATGTTTAAATACTGAAGAAAGTAGTGCGGAACATGCAGTTATGTGTCATAAAGGTAGCAAAATGTAAACAAAGTACAATGTAGTATTTTGACTTCCATACAAAATACTAATAATTCAATATATTTATATCCATTGCTAATATAACAACATAAGCAGGTGTTAGTTCATGTACAATGTATATGGCAAATAAGTTATGTTTTGGAAACTGCAACAAGATAGGAAAAATTAAAGATCTTGAGAAATGAAAATGATAGCATATCTGAGGCATAATGGGCCTTTAAAGAAGAAGACAGAAGCTGAACTCCATGCTTACACATGTTGGTGGTACAAAACTTAAACTTTCTTTTGAAATAATGGGAAAGAACTCTTTGTTTACTTTGCTTTAAACATTATAATATGAAGTATTACCTCTCTTATGAGTTTTATAGGAACCAAGGAACCAAACATTTGCTATTTTCTATATATGCTGAAGTAGATAGTAGAATTGTGTTAAAACCTCTCACTGTATTATACACATTTATAACACAAAAAAGCCACATCAAACTGTGCAATAATTTAGACTAGAATATCTTTGCATGCTAGCCTTCACTAAACAGCTTGTTTCCAGACCTGGGGTAATCATTAATTGTAATCATTGATTTTTTAATTGATTACATGATTACACTGTAATCATCATGTAATTGATTACCTTGCCCAAAATTGATTACATTAATTGTAATTAATCAATTACAGCTAAAATTCAGTCAGTAATTATGATTACAATTTGATTGACATTGATTACTTTCAGATTTAACAGGAAACTATTTTAATTCAAAGGATGCCTTTATTTTACATGATACAGTTTATCTTTTGTATTACATTTATAAAGTAAAAGCCCTTAATTAAGACCATCATCTGGGCTGGACCAAAGTGGTCTAAATTGTGGGGTGGTCTTAATTGTGAATATTCTCATCATTGCTTACATACTTATCACCATGATCTATTTTAGTCATTTAACAGCATGTATCTTAAGCTACAAATACAATATAAGACACTATAAAAGTATGCTATGATATTTGATGAGAGGAAGGATATTTCTGAAGAAATTTAAGATACAATTCTCTTTGGTCAGATTTCAATATCAATTATAATATGATGTACATAAATCACCTATCAAATAAAACTTAATTCTTCACAAAATAAATTTGCTGAAAGCAACATTAAACCACTCTAAAATTAACCTTCTCACCTTATTTCATACAATGACCCAATAATAAAAGTTTTTCACACCTGAAATTAAGTGTCATGCATTTTAGCATTCAAGCAGATCATAACAACAAATTTAATATCTAGATAGGTGTTTAATATCAGTGGTCTCAATACAATGTACTTGGGTCAAATTAAGAATAAAGCAAAGAATTTGGACCAGGGCTTACGTTAATGGAAGTTTGGGAGTCATTTACTCCTTGCTTTTGGCTTGTGACTTCCAAAATTTAATGTTTTTCCTTCTTTACATATATAGTGTGACTTTCAACAGTGGGTCCAGAGATTTTGCAGTCTCTGACTTCCAAATTTTGAAACTTAGTGGAAGCCCTGTTGGACTTAATCAGGTGGTCTTAAAAGTGGATAAGCAGTTGTTTTTAATTCTGGATCATTTCACCATTGTCTAAAGAACCTTGTAAAAAATAGTCTTATTAAAGGGGTTGTCTTAATTCAGGGGTGGTCTTAAGTAAGAATTCTACTTTACATTGAATGTAATCAATTATCAATCAATTACTCTCTTAAAATAATTGTAATTTAATTGATTACAGAGGCAAGTGTGAGTAATCAATCTTAATCAATTACAATAAAAACTGAAAGTAATTGTAATTAAATCAATTACTGATCAATGTAATCAGCCCCAGGTCTGCTTGTTTCCAGACTGATTCAAAGTTTATAAATAATATGTGTATGGAAATATATGTAGATTTACATGCTGGAATGAAAATCAGTTAGCTTTTGACACCAGAATAGAGCCAGACCAGCCTGCCCATCCTTAAGCTTCTAAGATATCTGTAGGAACATAGTTGGCTATTAACTTCTTGTATTATTTTCTACTAAAATTATCTTCTAGTCATTATTATTACTTGATCAAACTTTAGTTATAGATATAAAAAATAATAGTTAGGTACAGTTAAACCACCCCAGAATAAAGACCATCCCGTCAATAAAGGCCTTTCTTCAACAACCCTACACTGATTAATGTGCCCATTATAACCTCCAAATAAAGACCACTTGTATATAAAGACCATATTTTGTGTCTCCTTTGAATGGCCTTTGTTCACAGATTTAACTGTATATTTTTGTACAGATTTGTATATTTTTATATGGATCTTTATCCTGCTTGAAACAAAAAATGATACATGGCCCATATATCTAAGATTTTGAAAGATACCTTGTACTGTTTTTTCTGCAACTTTTTCAAAAGATTTTTTAATTGAATGGAATTAAAATTGATATAGAGAAGGTTATTTTGAATAAATAGATTGATCAATTTTAGTTATTATATATTTTTTCTTTTGTTTTTCTTCTGATTTTACTGCCCTTAGTATTCTGCTTTATAAGTAAGTTGATTTAAGTTATTTTAAGTCTTGTATGCTTAGATTTTGTAACACACTGGTTTTTAAATCCAATTTTTTCAAAGAATATTTGTAATCTACATGTACATTTAATTAAAAATTACTACATGTACGTTCAATTGCCGTCCTTAGATTTAACGTGTCCTTAGATTCAATGCGTAAACTTGTTAATTTTGATACATTCATCATCAGTGCGTCCATGAATTATCTCCCTTTGTAAAGTTGCAGTGTACATGTCATTTGCCCTGATTGAATTCAGGGTGTAATACATTATTAGCTCGACTTTTCTATGAAAAGGGGAGCTATCCTACTCGCCCCGGCGTCGGCGTCGGCGTCGGCGTCGGCGTTGGCGTTGGCGTCACACCTTGGTTAAGTTTTTCGTACCACCCCACTTTATTTCAGAAGTATTGCAAGTATGGCTTTGAAACTTACCATACTTGTTCACCATCATAACCTCCATCTACAGACAAGAGTACATAACTCTGTCAAGGTTTTTGACAGAATTATGGCCCTTTTTTGACTTAGAAAGTGTATTGAGCTTGGTTAAGTTTTTTGTACCACCTCACTTTATTTCAAAACCATTGGAGGTATTGCTTTGAAACTGACCATACTTGTTTACCATCACGACCTTCATCAACAGACAAGAGGACATAACTCTGTCAAGGTTTTTGACAGAATTATGCCCCTTTTTGACTTAGAAAATACATTGAATATGGGTAAAATCCACTTATTGCCTTAACCCTTTGAGATATTGCTTTGAAACTTTTAATGCTATTTCACATCATTACCCCATCTGTACGCAAGAGAAGGTAACTCTGTCAAGGATTTGTTTTAAAAATTAAGGCCTTTTATCGACTTAGAATCTTGGTTAAGTTTTTAGTACCAGTCCACTTTTTGACTGAACTGTTTGAGATATTAATTTGAAAGTTGGAATACTTGTTTACCATCATGGTCCCAAAACATGGGCAGGAGAAGGTAATTCTGTTAAGGATTTTATTTGAATTATGGCCCTTTTTGACTTAGAAACTCAGTTAAGATTTTCATTCTTGTCCACTTGTTGACTTAACCATTTGAGATATTACTTTGGAAGTTGGAGTTCTTATGTGCCATCATGAGACCTATCTGTAAGCAAGAGAAGATAACTCTGTGAAAATGTTTCTTGATTTGTACTTAGAAATTCCTAGTTAAAGTCTTGTGTGCCCTTAACTGTCAAAGTTTTGTTTTATAGGCAAGCACTAAAAAAGTCGAGCGCGCTGTCCTTCTGACAGCTCTTGTATAATAACTTTATTACTGGGCTTGTTGATTTGATTGTTAAGTATGTGAAGTTATATATATGTATATGTCAATAAATGTATATACATCTCTAAAAATAACAAGGCGATATGATTCAGTGGAAAAATGGGGTCAAATTCAACTTAACATTTAATACAGAGAAATAAGTGATTTTTTTTTGAAGATTTACATTTTCAAAGTATAAGAAACATTAAAAAAGTGCTGCCGAAGTGTTTTAAATTTTCTTTAAATATTACTAAAAAGCTTGGGTCATCGACTCAAAAATATCAAAATATGATATAAATTTATTTAGGTATTTTGGACAAGGTGTGTCTATAATGATATACGCCAAGGTTTGCGGTTAATTCATTGCCAGCAGTGTAACTGACCTTACAGGACACTGATCCAGAGTCATAAAAAATACGCATTTGATATTTAGTGAATTACAGAAACAACAAAATGATTAAACAATCTAATTTGTCTTATAGAAGTAGAAGAACTATCTAAATTCCATTCTTGAGTTTTCTTTGGTGCAGCAACAAAATCGTTATAAAAAGATGTACCTTTATGTTTACAACATAGAAATGATACTCTTCATTTGCTAGTATATATACTAGTATATATACTTATATAGTGTCATCTCTAGTTACCGATTTTTTTATTTGTATATGAAGACTTTTGAATCTATTAAGCCTTAAATGTTATCAGGTTATGGGATCAGTCTGTCTCATTAAACAAATCGTATTTGTTGAAACTATCTGCAATAAAAAATGAACATTCTTTTCTTGTTTTTTTTTTTGTTTTTTTGTTTGTTAGCGAGGTTTATTGTTAGTGACCGTAGCTCTAGTCATTTTGAAACCCGTGCCTATTCCATGTTAAGAATTTCCATGACCCTCGTGTTAACAGAATGAAGTCCAAAACCAAGTGCATTTCTGGAAGCACGTGATGTTTTACAGAAATCAATCCAAAACCACATGTTTTGAGAGGACGAGATTTTTTTACTAAGAATCACCATATACTGGAAACCGTGATGTTTAACGGAAAACAGTCCAACCATGTATAACTAGAGACCGTCACGTTTTACAGAAAGCGAACCAACCTACTTGTTTCTGATGGCCGTGATATTTTACGGACCAGGCGTTACTGAAAGCCGTGAGCTAAATTCTGGCAATATTCAGCTATAATTAGGTAAATTGTTATCAATTGTTGGCAATAGTAGTTTTGATCGCTTATTAAACTGCCCTTTCTCTATGTGACCTTTTTTTTCTATGTGACCTAATTCATGAAGTATTTTAAGGCTAGTGACTTTGCAAAGAAGTGCGCTTACTTAACTTGTCTAAGGGATGACCGGGGAGGGGGGTAAGGGGCGACAAGTGTTAAACGAGAAAACAAGGTTATGCTATACAGACTTGATTCATGTATGTCATAATTTGTCATGTATGTTTCAAATAATTAGAATGAAATACATAGAAAGCAAGATACCCTCTGATGAAAATTTATCAACTAAAATACAGAAAATGGCTGACAAAATGATGATAATTTATGTTTTTGTCATGTATTATACTGCGCAGTTAGCTCAAATGGTAAACTGAGCCTTATACTGTGAAACAAACGACCGGGTTCGATTCCCGGGAGATGCTTTGGTAGTTTAGGGCAGAGGAAGGTAGTCTAGTACTAATGTAACTCTCCAGGAACGATGGTTAGGAAACTACCCGCCTATATGACTGAAATACTGTTGGGGGAAAAGGCGTAAAATGAAACAAACCCGGGTTCGATTCCCGGGCCGCACGGTGCAGGCCGCTTTCGATTTCATTGATCATGAAATTCTTTCCACGGTCATTCGCACTGTACCTATGCTCTGGTGTGTATAGAAGTTATCAGTTTCTTTGCGATAGTGAAGGACCTGGAGTAGTTAACTGCTCGGCAACCTATCCAGGAACTATGCGATGGCTGACCTGTCTCTGGTGAATTCAAAGTGGCATACCGCCATTATATCGAGGTTAGACTATACCAACACCACCATCATCCAATTTTTGTATTTTGATAATGAAATGTTTTTAACTTTGTATGAAACAAGCACAATTTCAGCATGTTAATTGAGTGTTCAAACTACAAACTTGTTAACGTTAGTCATATAGACGGTAAATGATACAAGGGCATAATTAACCCTTTTATACAATGGACTCCGCCCACTATGAATTTGGAACCTTCCATAGTTATTTTAAAGGATTTCATTATAAAAATGGACAAAGAAGTGTTGATTACGCGATTAAAGAAAATAGGTTTGTTTCTTTAATTGCGTAAAGTCAACGACGCGGTCAATAAAAACAGGTCAATGCAATAATTAAATCTTAAAAAGAAGAGCTTTCTTACGAACAACAATATGTAAAACATTCAAGGACAGATAAAACATTTATCAATCCTTTATATTAGAAACTGCATGTGCTCGCATAAACAGCATAAAAAACCCATTAAGATCAGCTGTTTCGTCCAGATGAAAGCCACACCTCCTTACCAAACCTCTCTTTTTAACCAATCAGATGGTCCGTTTTGAAACGCACCTTCGCAATTAAACCACGTGTGCATCCTCGATTCTTTTGCAAATAATATAAAATTACCTCATTTAAACGACACAATTAATGCCCGAACACGCATATTATGAACAATTATTCATTTATGATATATTCTATGCATTAACCGTAGTCAAATTTGACGTGCGCGTCCACATACTAGGTCATTTATCAGCTTACGAGCCGTGACCTTTACGGGTCATGCGCGCGCCTATATAACCGGCGTTTTGCGGCGAAAACAGCTGATCGCAATCCAACAGCTGATCGGGAAATGTTTTAAAGTGACTAAAAACTTTTTAAAATTCTTAAAACTTTTTTTCATAACTAATCATCAAAAGAAACTAAGGTAAGTGAATTTACTTGTATTTTAATTTTTATTTGCTACTTTAAAGACGTTTTTGCCATATAATTAAGGCACACACATATATATATTATGTTCACATGCATGTATAAGTTAAGAACCGGGCGCTAGTTCATGAATTCTTTGTAATGCCTGTTTGTTAATGCATTATTTAATATATCATTCAAGAAATTGTGGTTAAGTATGCGATATGACTTGTTATTGACTAGGATTTTACCTTAATTAGAACCGTTAATCCGTAATACATGAACTTATAGTAGCTTGCCACATATATAAGTTCAGTGGTTCATTTTTCAATTTTATGCTAAGCTATTTAACTTATATTTTTACATGATAATATGATCAAGTATTTCACATTTTGCTGCGAACTTTTAGCAAAATGGAAAAAAGTTGCGTACTTTAGAACAACCGACTGACCCATTTATATTTTAAGTTGAAAACAGACAAAACGTGTTTTTTTATAATATACGTTATTAGTTATTACTAGTTCTTTCTTGCATAGCATTTGTAATGAAGAATTCATAATATGAAGTATTTTTCCAAGTTGCATACTTCGCAATGATGCATGCATGCATGTAGTATAGTAGTTTGCTGCGTCATATTTGCACAGAATTCTCCGGCCGGTATTTTTCAGCGGATCAGCTGTTTTGTTGTTTCACGTGGTATCAATCTATTGATCTAAGATTGATCAGTGATTTGTAACCATGTATATACAGTTGTTTATCCTTTATGCTAATATTGTATAACCGGACTTTGTCCGGTATGTATGGCGTAAACATCACGCAAAATAACTTTGTATATTTACTTGTATATTTAACCTTAACCGCAATTATCATACAAAGTGAAATATAAAAATATCTTGATAATACGTTGTTTTTACATAGCATTTACGAATTTTTTTTTATGAAAATATTCGAGTTCAGGGCAAATGAAGTGGATACTAGCATTATTAAGCATACTTTTAAAAGATCTATTGTTCACTAAGAAATCAGTTGGACACATTGCCAGTTAGCGTGTTCAAAAAATCGGATTAAATAGGTCGAACGATATTTTGCGCTTAACCGATTTTTCTTTTAGAGAAAAACATGTTTAGATGAAAAGATAATATATATACTAAAAGAGCCCATGACCGTGAATTAAAAATAGGGGAGAGTGTTGAGACTGAATTAATTTTTTGCACAAACCGTTGTATGTTATATAAAAAGTATATACGATTATGAAATATTCATTATACATGCAATAAAATTCAAACTGGAACAATGCCAGTTAAGAGAATGCTAAAGTGAAAGAACTCATTTTTTATGTTTTTTATTTATTTTCAAATCTTAGTAACTAGTGTTTCCGTTTAGATAATATAACATTGTTTTAAGAAATGATTAGAAGTGTGAATTCTTGGAAGGTCATGCAATGTTGTAGCAAAGTCAGCTGTTTTTTTTTTTTTGTTTTTTTTGCTTCAGATCCGTGAAATTTTTTTTATTTCGTTGGTTCAACGTCAAATTCAAACAATCCTGTTGTTTGGTATCCTACTTTTCGCGTAAACATGTTTACTGTGACAGTTGACGTGGTGGCCTTTGATTTAAGTTTAAATATACGTCATTGCGGTCTATATATGTTAGAAATGTAACTAATATATGAATATAATTAGGAAGAAAAAAACCACGTGACTGTAACTGATTTTTGCAGCGTCAGCAAATCATCCTTAATTGCCACTTTTCATCGCTCATCATGGAAACAAGCGATCGACACGTAAACCATATGCTTAAGTACGCGCATTTTTATACATGCGAACTACGTGCATGCATTCACATATGCAATTTAATATCTGTATATAGTAATTTCTATATTCCAAGCTGATATGTAAACTCGAATAAATATAGTTATATTTTCCCCCAGAAAACAAATATATAAAGTATATAAAAGTACAGCCCGATACGCTTTGCAGTTACGGCTCTGCTATTCATGAATGATAAACCTTGTTAAAGTTCTGTTCTGTTCATTTCTATCACTAAATAGGATCTAGAATATTCTCGATCTGACACTTTTAAGATTTAATCCCCACAGCCATTTAAATTCTTCTTCTTTTTTTTCAAGCTGACCACACAAGAGGGATTATGCATTGAAGACAGTCGGCGTAAACAAGTGTTATCTGATTGTACTTTTGTGAAAAAGAATAATAAAACAAATAAAACTGAAGTGCATGACTTCATTAACGGTTGACACTCAAGTGGCTTTTGTCAAAATTAAAATTAATGAATACTCCAGTATGCGTGACTATGTCTTAAATCTAACAACCCGGTGCATTAAATAAAGTTGATTTAATTTGAATAAAGCGAATTAAACAAAGCTCAAGGTTAACTTAGATTATGTCAAAAGATTAACGACTATGAAAGCCTCACAGGTGGATTGGTTTAGCATTAATTGTACCTATTTATAGTAAAAAAAAATCAAATTTTGTAGTGAAAAAAGGCAGAGAGCTATTTGCTGTTTCAATTTAAACACTTATTAATTGAAAATAAATGTGATTCTGAATTTTTTACAGCGCGCGGCATCATATGAGGTCGAAATAGTATGTTAGAATAGTCGCATTAAGCGATACGCACATGTGCAATTCAGCTTTTTTTTTCGCGCGCAAACTGTAATATTAGTGGCTATCGCTTCGCTAAACTCCGTATTATCCGGCGTATATCGGATACATTAATTAATCCAATGCTTTTTTAGCTCTTTATTTTTCATTTTCATTTTACTTGCAGACTAAAAATGGAACTTACAAAAACACTAGTATGTTGCACATTGGTGCTGATGATTTTGACAGAGGTGGTGATATGTAGACCGACACACTCCGGTAAAGAATCGGAACTTGAGGCATTAGTTAAAGACAGTAAGTATATAAATGTATATCTAAATGGAAATGTTCAAACAACCTGTTTACTTCAGTCAATATTACACGGCTAGTTTAGTGCTAGACAACTTCTTGTCACTTATATTAATCACTTTCAAGTCCACTTCCTGGGACTTACCAGTACTGGTGTCACAGTACTGGTGTCATATCAGGAAACATGGCCCGAATAGGGTTCGAACCCAGCCATTATACATGGGTATGGAAACAGACGACTTTATTACAATTCATGTTCACATCTAATCCCCATCCCCACCCCGGTCTCTTGTCCTTATTCAGCTCCAGATAATCACGGTTAGGAATGAAACGGAAATTTAATGACGGTTTGTACAAATAACATAATTTGATTTTTTTTTTCACATATACATGTAAAAGCCCTTTAAGATTATTTAAGATTTTTTTAACTTCGATATTCTAAACAGGAATCGTTAGGGACGTTACATTATGTATATAATTAAACTTGACCGCTTTATTACCACCTTGAATTTTATGATTTAAGAAAGATATTATCAACATCGGATATAGAGCAGGCTGACACATATATAAGTCGTTAATCATATCCTCTATTATTTTGGCACAATACATTAGCAAATAAATATGCATAAACATGGACATGTTAATGAATATTTTTTATAAGTAAGTTGTTTTTCGCTAGCTTTATCCTCCGTAATTATCTCGCTAAGACACGTGATCAACGTCAGTATTTATTCTGTCATTATCCTTGTATACTTTTTAATGAACGAAAATGTTATTTAGATTCGTTAATAAAGGTCAAAGGTCAATTCGGTTCCGTTCTGGCGTGCTCTACTTCATCTTCAGCCTCCTCTTCTTCTTCTTCTTCATATTATTATTATTATCATTATAATTATTATTATTATTTGATTATTATTATTTTTTGAATATTATAACCATAGCTGTTTTAGCGCGTTCTCAACTTTTAACTACTTCAATTTCATGGTTCGCTGATATAGAGAAAAACTACAATTGTTGTGTTTTTCCTTTGAATAAATTCGTAAGATATGAATACATCATTTTTTGTATACTTTAACTAGTTGACCAGCGGTTAATCAGAAGTGAACACAAAAGTTCCCGGCGGAGGCGCCGGCATGTTGCCACACAGCGATTGGCTATACTGGAACATTGCCTGAGAAACCCATACACTTGCCGGTAAGTGTTTTATGCTTTTTTATAGGCACATATTTCGTTCCAATAAGAGTTTATTAAAGGATCAACAGAACAAAAAAATATTTTTTGGCGTGATCATATTAGGGGTCACGCTTTTGTTAAGTTACAAGACATAAATTCGTGATATACTGAATTCAAAATTTATAGGTCACCTTTTGGTAGATAATAACCTTTAGGACATGAATGGTGACATGCCCGGGATTCGTACTGCAAGTGTCTGAAAAGGCGGATGGACCTTCATTAAGTCTAGAATACCTACATACATCCAGGATTGGCCTTAAATATTTTTCGAAATAATAGAATAATTATATTTGCTTTTAGCAAAATGTTATTGCTAAAAACAAGTGACATTTGATAAAAGTTTCGTTAAAGTTGAACAGGCGCCTGTCTTGTCAAAAGTCACTATGTTGTTGTCAATGTTTGCAAATATTTCAGAAGCTACAGTTGCTAGAAAAAGCACACAAAATGTCACCAATTTTAAAACAATGTCTTCAAAACAATGCTTAATATTTCAAACAATCTAAACGCGATTCAAATGGTAATTCAAATGGTACGTTGACAGAATGATTTTCGATAAAGGTGTAATCATAATTTAAAGCAACTTTTTTAAATTAAGATGAGTTACATAGTTAAGTTCAAGTTGGGGCATTATCATAATATGTCTTATATGATAATAGACAATATAGAACTTTATTTGGTATATACATGTATTTTTTCCAGAGCGGAAGTAGAGCGCATGCGAAGGCTTCAGAGGAGGAATAGAGATTTCCGTGTGATAGTGATCGAAAAATAACATTAACATTGGAGCCGTGGCAACGAAATGGTAATTCCGAGGACAGTAATCGATTCGAGGGAGAATTTCACCTGAAGTGACGTTTTTGTGTTCCTTTACACGAAGTGATGATCTCATAAGCTAACGAAATCAACCGCATTTAAACTTTACTCATTGGTGAACTACTTTTTGGTGAACTACTTTTTCTATTGATATTCATGCGTGTGTAACTTTGTTAAAAATGAGACAATAGCTTTAATACCCACAGTAATGTGACTTATAAATAAATATTTAATAAAAAACTAACAAAAAACAATATTTGGAAATGCATGGAGTTCTTCGCAAGTTCCTGTAGAAGATAAGAAGAGCAAAAAACTACAATCAAAATAAGTGAATATTGAAACATCGGAACTGTAAAGAGAAGGTTCTATTGTGTACAAAATATGACAGGTGAAGAAGGGTTTGCATGATAATTGTACAAAAAATTAACAGTTGTCAACAGTTATTCAAGCACCTCCTTTATTTAAAAATAACAGTAACAATATGAGTATTTTAGCATGAGATCAACATGAATTTGGTTCATTGGTCAATGGCCATTCTAATCAATCCAATGTAGAAATTTAAAACTTTTAAACCAATGTCTTCTTTATATTGTAGGACTTCTTTTGTTTTTACTTTTATTTGAGACAACACTCATGCAATCCTTTTTTATGACCCAGAGCACCATCCATCAACATTTCGTGCAAATTCGGCAAACTTCGGAACTTTCGATATCCTACCTCGAAGATGAAACGAGCGCTCACATGTTACTTTTAAATCGCGGAAAGTGGCGACAAATGCCCTAATATGCAAAAAAGCTGCCGGAAAGTGGCGATATATTCCGAATTTGTACGAACTAATGATGGGTAAGCTGAAGAAATGAGAGCTATCGGAGAATTGTGATAGCCATGCAGGAACTTAAAACTAGCGTTACTACAAATGTGTCACGTAATAATTTCCGTTTCCACGACAATGTCTATTTCTTTCGTGAGTTGTCATGGTTACAAAGTTATGTATGTGACAGACATGTGTGATATACATGTGGCATCTTGAGATCATAGGGCTTTGCTTATAAGGGTCTCGGTTGTTTTTTTATTAATAAGATATTCAAAACAGAAATCGTAACGTATGTTCCATTATTTATAATTTATTATGCTGTACAATGAACCCAGAGTTGGAGATAAACTTAATGTATCTTAGCTTTTTACAAAAAAATACTGAGACCCCTATTAACAGCTTTATATTTATGTTAAATTTTGTGTTTATATGTGTTCTCTGATACTTCATATATGCAGGTTTTGACACACAAAGCTATATACAATATTTAGCATCAAGCAGTTAGCTGCGTATGGTTTAGATGATCGTATATATGCGTATTTTCTAGCACGACTGACCTATTATTCAAAAGGGTATTCTTCACTACAAATGATTTCCGAAATAAACATACTGCATATGTGAAGTTTTAGTTTCCATGCCTTTATATGTATTTTTGTATGTACTGTAAATTTCGTATAACATCTTCATACACAACATTATGGCATAAAATAAAAGATGTTCAGTTAATTGTAAAGTATGTTCGAGTGTGTGTGTGTCTTGTGATGTTGTGATGTATTTATGTTTTAGATGCCGATTTGCAGTAACGCGAACCCGTTTTTTTAATTTGTTTAATGTTTTGTACGTTATGATTTTTAAGATGAAAATCCCTTTATTGTTTAACAAAACAAAATCTGCGAATTCCATTATCGTTAACGTATTTTGTGTGTGTGTAACTTTTGTTGGTTTTGTTTGTTTGTTTGTTGTTGTTTTGTTTTCGTTTTTTTGGTTTACTCTGTGTTTTTTATTTGTTCGTTTTTTTTCCATATCGTAATTTTACCGATATATTTTCAGTAACGATTGTTACTCTAGATATGCGTTACATACTTTACTATATGTTTTACGTTACGTTGTTTTGTGTATAGGTAACTCCCCAGTGTCTGTGTATGTACACCGGTCTGTGTTTGTTTCAGGGCGTTAGTTTATCGTTTTTGTTGTATGTTTAAAAAATTGTTATATCTATAGGGCAGTGTCGAAAGAAAAGGAAATGAAAGCACTTAAGTGTACCAAATATATAGATAAAGAATGTGTGTTCATATGTTTTTAACTAGTGAATTTGATGATTACATGTATAAAGTTATGGAATATTTATGTTATTGAGATCACTTTTACGGGAGGAAAATAAATGTTTAAAAGTGAGATTGATATACCAAATACTGAATGATAAGTTCATGTATGGAATGTTCACGTTAAATGTATGAAATGTACGAGTAAATATACGTAAGTCTATTTATAAGTCTATGTACTTAATACAGAGAGGACAAATCGTCCAATGTGTCTTAAGTTTTTTTCAATTTAAAAAATAGTTTATGTAAAATGTTAATAACCTAATCCGATTTAACATGGTGTTTTTCAGTATATGTAGAGTAAGTAATGTACATGTATAAAAAAATTCATCCAACTTGAATTTTTGGTCTATTTTCTATTATTTTATGAAGCAGCTTAAAAAGATATGAACTTTTTGCACTCATTTTACTTGTCGAGCGTATGTAAGAAAAAACTTTACTAAAAACTTGACACGAAATAGGTCATAATATTAGCGTATAAAGTTTAAAGATTGACCATTTTTTATCGATTCATTCAGTCATTTTGTCTGAAATTGAGATCGATTATGTTTTATACCTTGCCATAATCCCTTCTTTATTCCATTGTATGATTTAAGTACGAGATTATAACATTTGTAAATTCATCACATTAACTGCATTCACTATTTTTAAAATCGGTGCGCATGCGTGTCTAAATGCTTTGCCGAATGAGTCTGTTTTTAGTAAAATGTTTTTATCAATGTTTAAGATTTTTTTTATTTAGGTACTGATTGAAACAATGGTTGATATCAGAAAAAGCCATTTATGTACTTTTGTCCCTGGTTACGAAAATTAAAGTTTCGTAGGTCTTTGAATTAAGTAAGAAATTATGTCCATTATTGTATTCCGTATTTTTATATCAATGGAATACATGCTATATTATGGTAATGTTCTTGATAATGATAAGAAAAAAATAATATTATATTACATGCGATTCTTATCACGAGCTATGTTTATCATGGTGTTCCATATTGTATTCCGTAATTTTGGTATGATTTTTTTTATATATATCTTATTTGTTTTGTTTTGTTCAGATATGACTTAGTTTCGTTTTAGTGAAATATATAATGTGCATTATTATGTAAAATGCTAGGATTTTCAAATTAAATGGCCAGATTTGTATTTACACGATCCTGTCCTTCTATGAAGGCAGATAAATATTGTTTAAGAAAATGAACTATATTTTGAATAAAATCGTTAAAATAAATGATGAGTATTGTTGAAGTGTTATTATTGTAATTAAAATGGTATTTTATCATATGAAATGCCCGCGGGCGGCGCCGGAATCTACTAATGGGACAAGTGCTGGGCCAAGACCACCCGGGAGATTCGTGCCGACATGTCACATGGTCTTCACCGATCACTATTCTGTCAGTGCATACTTTTATTTTTTCTCGGTTTTGTCCAGATTTTAATACGGTCTTTTAAGATATTTATAGTAGTAAAGGTTAAAATATTGCGATTTTGAAATTCGACACACTCTTCTGTTGAAGGTGGTGTGTTCCATGTACTTGGCTTTTTTCTTGGGTTACTTTTGCATTTCTTTTATATTTTTATATTACAATAGCTGACTACAAATAATAATAATGTTTGCACACTATGTACACTGTAAATTTTGGGAACACTACACGTGTTTTACCAGTGTTTCAAACAAAAACACTGACGTTTTCATATAAAATGCTTATGTTTTGTATACGTTTCAGTGAAAACACATATGTTTTATTCATGTTTTCCGCTCGATGCCCAGAAAACGGTGGTGTTTTCACAGGACAACCTATAATATATAATTAAATAATTTTACATTATTGAATGAGTTGAAGTCACGCAAGTGTTGTGAATAGGCCACATGTAAAAAAATAATGAGACAAAAACATCATTTGTGTCGGAAAATTCGTATATACTTGTCATCCGGAAATCTGAAAACACGTGTTTCGGCCGAAAACACGTGTTTCGGCCGAAAACACTAAGGTTTAATCTGACAGCGGTTACTTCCCCTTAGCACAAAAAACATGAATTGATTATTTTTTTTTTTATAATTAGAATTATTTTTGTACAATCCCCATATTAAAATATCTAGATCCAGAAACAAATAATAATGAATTCAATTACATAAAATATTTTATAATAAATAAATTCGAATCATAGCAGCCAGATGCTTGCGTGTAAAGAGTACGCTTTGATTGATATCTCCGTAAAGCGCCTGGCGATGTAGCACATTGTAGATCAGACGACAAAGACCGCCAGAAATTGTTTGTCTCATTTTTGTTGTTTCTTCCATAACAGATATGTACAACAGTTGCTTAAACAGATTTGTTAATATTTTTAACGTTTTTACAGGTGAATGGTTAGGTTTTATGTACTATATAGTTCATTTTCGCTTCGATAGACGAATTGAAACAGGTGGGTGGGGAATGCTGTTTACGTTACGTGATTAGATTGGTCAGTTATTTCTGTTTGTGCAAAAATTACTCAAACTATTGGTGTTCTTTTTCACGGATTTGTATTCAAATCACTTTGGGGTAGTTTTAAGTTGTATCGTTTGTTTCCTTGTTAAGGATTAAAATAATTTAAATTTGTCTTTCAACTGGTCCACCAGGGCAGGAGTATTTCTGTCCACACACACTTTCTAACAACAAATTGAAGTAAAATCTTATTTACATTTAGTGATGTAGGAAATGGCGCATGATGTCCAATGATCAGCTATGGGATTGACTATATGTTTATACCTGTCTGATAATGCAGGTAGATCTATATAAATTAACAATTTTTATCTAGGGGCCCAGACTATTTTACATTAGTTATTTAGGCATTTCTTCTAGAAAGCTGGGGCCCTACCCAAAAGTTAGGACCATTGCGACTGGATCCCTGTTATTTTATATCCCTGTAATGGAAGCACGATGGGCACACTAACAAAGTTTGCACTCTTACCCTATGCTACGACCGGATGTAAACAATACGTTCGCACAGGGCATGCGCGATTATTAAATCCCACCCATTTTATTCGATTAAATTCTAGAACAACCTCTACTTTCGGTTTCAATTTTGCTGACAAGGAACAGTTTGAGTCAACGTAAGTGTTAATTTTAATAGCAATGTCCAAAACTTTGCACTACACGGCGTAATTTTCATTACATATCGGGTATTATTACCGTCCTGGTAGTTTTTATTCCAGTCGGTCAAAATGACGGTACACATGTACATGTAAACAAACAGATTTAACTTCTCAGACAATTTAAATAAGGAATGGACACACGGTAAACTCTGTTGCAACGTAAAGTATATTCATAAAATTACTGTTTGTGAAAAATTGTCTCCGTGTTCAAATAAATTTCAAAAACGGGGAAAAAAGCAGTCTTTTACCGATACCCTGCAACTGAACCTTATTATTCTGACGAATTAAATTGACTTTATAACGCTCGTATACAATTATTTATATTGATCGATTTTCATTATATTTATTTTGTAATACCTATCATTCAATATGCAATCACACAAAACCAAGTTTTCCTACATTCAATGAAATTGTAAGTTAGGACGAGCTTTCAAAACGAACAGATAGCATTATTTCCAACACTCTTACCGAATTTCCAACATGGCGGCTCAACCTGGCTCATTTGCATAATTTATTCATAAATGCAGGAGCATAGAACTTTCAGTTTGTTAGTGGGGCAGGTATTAATAGTTGTCATTTAACAGTAACTGTATAAACCTTTTGATTGAAATTTCCTATAAACCCCCACCCCCCTAAATTTCTTTATTTTCAATATTTTATAAACTTTAGAATGAAAAGACAAATAAACATATATAGTTCTATATTATTATCACACATTTATAATAAATGTTCCTTTGTAAGGGTGCAAACTATTCAGCTTTCTCTGGATTTGATTCTTAATTCCATTTAAATTTCGATTTGATTATTGAGGCTAAGTTAACATTAATTTTATATAGGGAATACTTTAAAAATAATTTTTAACTACACTTAAACTTTATTTAGGACAGCAAAGAAAAACATACTGAATAAAACTTTTAAACAACATATCATGTTACATTCAACATGTTTTGATTTGGATAAGCAAGAACACGTTGTCAAGTAAAGAAACGCTTATATTATATATAATATTCAAATATAAAACATTCAATTAATATCAGAAAGTCAAAGTGTTTTTCCCCTACTTTGAGAATGGTGCTGGTACAATTAACGGTACCGGACAGATTGGGAAAAAATCCATCGGTTTGACTTAAATTGGGAATTTTATTTTAGATGCAAAATATTTATTGGGAATTTCTTTTATCCAGGGAGGTGATGAAAATTTTGCATAATTATACACTTTAAAATCATGTATTATTAACTTTAAAGATTATTTTTGCTGCTTGAGGTTGAAAAAAAATTGATAATCATAACAATTGTACATAAATAATGTTTAGTAGGTGTGAAACATAAAGGGGAGCGGTGGCCTAGTTGTTAAGGTGTCTGCCTCTCAACTCAGAGATCATGGGTTCGAGCCCTACACAGGTCACGACCATGTTTCTTCATATGACACCAGTACTGGTTGGTTCCAGGAAGCGGACTCGAAAGTGATTGATATAAGTTGCAAGAACTTGTTTCGCAATCGAGCTAAAATAAATATGTTTAAAACCTTAAACATAAAGTACGAAATGAACTGGGTACGAATATCACTCATGTGGTTTTACTTGGTTTTTATCGTATATCACTTATCAATACGGAAGGCTCCGAGGCATGCATTACTGTTTTTAGAGGTAATTTTTCAGTGTTAAATTTGGAATTTATTCAGTCATGAATTGGAAAATTTGCTGTCTATTTTCTATTGGAACGGTGCCGTTTTCCGGTATCAGTTATATAAGGAAAAATACTGGGTTGTTCAATGTTGTTAAGATTTTTAGTCATTGACTAGATTTTCTACCAGAATTTTTTTGTTTTTACTCTTCTTGTGCAAGTTGTGGTTATAGAGTGTGATGAACATATTGACTCTTACTTTGTTTAAAACGCTATAGATACAAAGACAGTGCTAAAAAATATCAAAGATCTCAAGTTTGTTTTGCCCTGTCTTGCATATCTGTAATGGAAGAACAGTTATTATGGATAAATACAGGTACTTCAATAAAATGTAATTTTGGGTACTGTCAGATCTACATGTTACGCTACAAGTTTCTTCTCATAATTACATATTTAACAACTAGTATGGCTAATGAGTACACAATTTTGGAGGTGTTACACTACAAGGCAGAAGAGAATATCTGTCCTTGCAAGCAGTCTTGAAGACCTTCTGAATAAAGGTAAGTATTTTTACACACTACAGCACAATTACAACACAGTGTTAGGTTGTGTGCTCAAAAGAGGAATCTCAGAATTATTTAGAATATAAAGCCTTGTCATAAGAAAATCTGTACAGGTGTGACTATTGTACAGCCACAGTTGTTGGCTAAAACACTTTGTGAAAGTCTGGTGATCCAGATGCCAAGTAAAACCGTTAATATGAATAGAAAAAAATAGACATTTCACAGTATCATATCTTTATTTACATTTGAATTGATTTTTTAAAAAAAGAAATGTGATTCTACCTTTCTGTGTTTAATTTTTACTACATTTGCAAATTCAATAAATTATCATCATGTAAGTATTACCTAATTGCAATAACTTTTGTCCTCCACTTTGATTTTCACAAACATTTAACATGGTGAACCCTAAATGTTAATCATAATTTATTCACAAAATTTTAGCCTTGCAAAAATATCTGATTTCACAGTATAAAGAAAATTCAAAACAAGTAGACTCAAAACACAAACTTTTCACAAAATATAAATAATCATGTTAACAGTAAAACAAACCCTACTTGATGATATTATTTAGAATGGAACAGTTGTCAAAATTTAATTTGAGTTCTATATATGCTGTTTGAGATCCATTTGTGATGGCAGAAATCATATTCATGAATATAACTACAGATCTCATCTATATAATATTTGATAGCTACAATACATAATTGTTATGTTAGAATGGACCTGTCTTAAATGTTTTACAGAAAAGATCTGTAGTTTGATAAATAATTCAAACAGTTTGATACTCGATCTAGTTGGTATTGATGACTATTTCTCAGAAAACACTAACTCAAGTTTTATTCAATATTTTAGCTGGTGACAAGCAAAACAGTTGCAAGGAGGAAGTTTGATTGTTGTGCTGGAAAAAGATGTGAC